GACCAACCCCATCAGGCGGGCAGTGACACATGCAACGCACCAGGCCATTTTCACCGACCAGCTCATACACACGCTCCTGTAGGGTGGGCGCCTGGTTGGTGGCATTTGCCCCGGGCCCCGGGGCCTGACGCCCGGCGGCGAGCCCCGGCGGCATGGTATGATCGAAGGACAACGAGGCCGGGATGCGGGTGGACTGGTGATCGCGCGTCTCGGCCGGGTCCAGCCCCGAGCGGATCAGGAAATCAAACACCCAGTCCGGGTGCAACGCCGGCGGCTCTTCCTCACTTGGCAGAGGAACACTGCCGGCTGATACCTTCATCGGCACGCCGATGTACGTATGATAGATGGCATTGAAGGAGGTGCGGATCTACCAAAAAGGGAAGGTCGAGTGCGAGCGTGAGCACCAGCGCGAGCACCAGATTGAGGCCCAGTCGCAAGCCCATGGCCGAGCGGCCGCTTTCAAAAGACGCACCTGGTCCAGGGAGGGGGCCTTGCAGGCCGGTGGGTCGCTGATGTTGACGCTGACAGGCCGGTTGGTTGACCGGCTGGTCGAGGCGGACCCGGATGACCGATCGAACATGCGGCTCATGGCGGTTGTCGTCGAGGGGGCTGCCCAGCCAGCAAGTTAGGGCGCGCACGGGCAAACGCAAGGCGAGCAGGCGAGGGGGGCAATTGCAGCAAGGCCAGAGGACGGGAGGGATGACCCGCCGCCCCGGGCCAGGCACGAGCCGGCGGGGTGCCCGAAAAAAAAAAAAAGGCAGGGCGCCCCACCGGGAGGGTCCCCTTCCGGTGCCGAGCCTCGGCTCGGAACCCCATGTCCCCGGGCCACTGCCACCTCCGCGCATGCACAAGGGAGCGCCGAGGCGGGGCAATCTAGACATCCTGGCAGAGGCGGCGCCGCACACCCCCGGTCGGGGAAGCTTCGGAGCCGGGCCATTTGCGTCTCCAATCGTTGGCACTCGGCATTATTGGAGATCTGAAAATTGACAGGTTTTTCCGCAATTCCCATGCCTGCTTTTGGCGGGCTTGCTCCCGGGCGCCCCCGCCCCCGCCGCCCCCCCCCCTCATTCGGGGCCGCTTTCGGCCTCGAGCGGTCTCGCTCTCTCGCTTTCTCGCGCAGCCCCCGGCGGCTGGTCGGTCTTCCGCACTGGCCCGCATCAGGGCGTGCTAGCACCCACGAGCCGGCCCTTCTCCGGACAAAGAGAAGACACATTCTTTCGCATTGGCGGTTTTGGAACCGCCCCCCCCCCCCCCCCCCGACGGCCGGGCCGCCCGAAGGGGCGAGTGTTTCTTCTTTCGCGCCAACTTCCTTGTCACCCGCCGAGGCCCCCGCCCCCCGGCCGGCGCGACTGGCAGATCTAGATTCGCACCGTCGGCCCTTCCCCGCCCCACCCGGCTGTGGCTTCCCCGCTCCGGCCAGGTTGTTCTTTAAGGGCAAGTAGACACCGTCGCC